AAAATTATAAGAAATATTTTGAACGTTATCTTTAAAATTCAGTATTTTGAAATTTTGAAAGTTGTTTGTAAACTATCAAGAACTATGGAGTATGAGCTAAAATTTTTTGATATGTAAAGTAAATGTCTGTGGAAAAATGTAAAAATAAATAAATGAAAGAAAAAAATAAAAAAAATTTGCCTTGATTCTCAATAATTTTCAAAGGATTTTCTCTGTGGTTCTTAAAGATGATTCTGGACAGTAGTTTTTTTCTTTTCCTTTACAAAGCCTAAATTTCTGGATGACATCAGGGCCAAGTGTGTTGATTTCCTAAGCTCATCTGTTCATTTCCTCTTTCTTCTTGTAGACAGATACTGACACTAATTGAATAAAGATGAGTTTACATCCTGATAAACCCATTGTAAAGTAGAAAATCTGAAATAGAACCTTGTAAGTTAGGGACCATCTAGGTTGAGCTGTTTCTCAAACTTTTCTGAGACATTCTCATGCTACCCAGCATGCTGTGCTGTGTCTGGTAGCCTTCTGTTGCTCCTTGAGGGTTTATGATAGTGGAGACCTGTCTGTCTTCACTGCTATATTCCTAGCATCTGTCACAGAAAACTCTCAAGTGCAAGTAAATTTTCACGAATAATTTATAGAACAACTAATGAAGAGGGCTAAAAATGAAGGAATGAAAGCAAGCCGAATGTCTGCACTGTATAGCCAAAACTAAATGACTAGAGGATATAGAAACATAGAAAATGCTCATAAATACTGGATACAGTATGAGAAGAGGGTGAGTGAAGGAGGAGAGACTGAGGAGGGACACTGGGGACAGAAATGGAGGGGCGGGGCATTTGTGGGAAAGAGAGATGGGTTATTTTCTGTTGAGGATGATGTGTGTTGTATTTCCAACTGCATTGGTGAGAAATGCATACATGTTGAAATATTCACTTTGCAAGCTAAGTGACATATGTGACTGAATATATAAAAGATATTGAAATAAAATATTTTTTTTAAAAAAAGAAAGAAAGCCTACCTGGAAAATGATGGAGCAGCATTATTTAAAAAAAATTTTTTTTTTTAGAGGTTTTGCTATAGGGCGCTTGCACTCGCCAGACAGACAGAGAGAGACAGAGAGACAGAAAGTGAGAAATCACCCCCAGAGGGGATGGCCACGCCGCAATCCCTTCTCCTCCATTATCCTCTTGGGATCTTGGGCACGCATGCACATTTGCCCAGCGTGAGTTTTAACCCACCGGGTCCAGGACGCGAACCGTGGTGGACTACATGGGAGTCCAGAGACATAGCCATTACACTAACTGCTGGTCCCAGGAGCAGCATTATTTGAACACGACAAAGTACAATGTTGTGTCTTGCCATTTACAACCTCAGATCTTCATGATGTAGGTATTAGTGAAATCAATAAAAAAGATTTATCTTGCAAAATAACAGAATGTTTTGAGAAACACCTTGTAATCAGAAGACAGTAGGGAATTTCTAATGGACTGTATATTCCTGATCATTTTTCCCATCCACAGACTTGGTGTGATATAATTTAAAAGACCTTGGAAACTGTAAGACAGTTTTAAGGAACTCTCGTAACATAAAAACTAGGAGTGTTGGGTAATAGTTGCTGCATTGGTTGGCTACAGCTACATATTGACAAAACAAAATTTTGTACAAAGTCACAAAACTATTTTGTTTTCTATGGCCTCCTATTTTCTTCCATCAAAGAAGAAGACTTTATGTCTAAAATGTGGTGCTATTTTAAGGAGAAAATGAGTATAGAAGCACAAGTAATAAATAATGCTAATCTATTATTTAGAGACATTAACAAGTTCTCCTGTGTATATATGGCTTTGAATAGGGGGTGGGGGAAGGACAGAAAATAGCATCAGAAGACTAAATTGCAAAGTGACCTCTGATTTACCTTCAATGCATTCTCTCTCTCCTATGAGACTAAGTTTATTTAGGAGCAGGGGTTTCATTTAGTTATAAAAAGAGGAAAGTCACCACTTTTTATTTTGCTATTAATATCTTCCAGAACTGATAGATGTGTTTGCTTCAGCAGCACAAATACTAACATTTGAATGATACAGGAAAGATTAGCATGGCCTCTCTGCAAGGATGACGTGCAAATTTGTGAAGTGTTCCAAAATTTTTAGCTTCAGTGACACAGTCCATAGCATACTGACTACAGTGCTGGAAGTCATGAGGCCAACTTTGGGACTGGATCTCCAGGTGAGCCTGAAAACACACCTGGCACATGTGTGAGCACCCAAGATCCTGAAGAGCTGGAGGACTGGGGAAAGAGGATTTTGGTGAAATGAGATCCTGTTGAGGGTGCGTCTTTCTCTTGTATGCATACATGTGTTCTCTAACATAAAAAAAAAAAAAAGAATTTAAGAAAAAATAGAACTGATAGAATTTTGGGTAGCCAATGCTATATGTGGTTGTTTAAATTTAAATGAATTAAAGTAACATAAAATTTAAAATTCAGTGCCTCAGTCACAATAGCACCTCTCAAATGCTCTATAATTATATGTGGCTAGTGACTATCATACTGGACAGTACAGATACAGAACTTTCTCAGCTTCTTCTCTTCTGGGAAACTGTCAGGCTTTGGGCATAGCCATCGACAGACAGTATCATCTGACCTGGATCTCACAGTGTCACTAGGCCTCACACTTCATATTTTTTTAAAGCTATTTTTACTTTTATCACTTATATGAGGAGTGGAGGTTTTACTGAGTCTGTTTGGAAAGCTGAGGATGGTGTGGTAGGGAATAGAAAAGAAGTACCTTATATTAATCACAATGAAGTATTTGTTTCTTGCTGTGTGAGAGATTGAGAAATAACATGGTTAACTAGTTCCATGCCTCTTTATAATTCCTAATAAAATATTTTCCGGACTGTACTATGAGGTCACTCTAGAGATAGATCCTTGGAAAAAGCAGGGATCCATGATTAAATAAATGTGGAAAATGCTGCAGGTCATTCTCCACATGACAGAGTAAGCTTGCGAAATTGTTAAGGATATTTCAATTCTCCCTTAAACAAAACAAAAATGACCTTCAAATGCTTCCTTTTCCATTTTAAAATACAGTACTCTACAAGGAATTGCGAGACCATGCATGTAAACGCTGTCTACCTTTGCAACTTCAACTCTTGCTTTCTCCTCCTATTCAGTTACAGTCTAGACAGAGTGGTCTTTTTTAATCCTTTACATACTCATTTTCTTTCCAAACTCAAGATTTTGCATGCATTGTTCTTCTTGTTTAGAATACTTTTCCTCAAGAGACTGATAACAAGAATACAGGGAACTCAAGTGCCTTACGCGAAAAAAAAAAAAAAAGATTAACCAAATTAAAAGATGGGAAAATGAGCTTAACAAAAATCTCTCTGTGAAAGACATATGAACAGCCAAAAACATATGAGGAAATGCCCAACATCCCTCATCATAAGGGAGAGGCAGATAAAAACCACAATGAGGGGAACCAGCAGTTAGCATAATGGCTATGTCGCTGGACTCCCACGTAGTCTACCGTGGTTCATGTCCCGGACCCGGTGGCTTAAAACTCATGCCGGGCGCGTGTGCGTGCGTGCCCAAGATCCCGAGAGGAGAATAGAGGAGAAGGGATTGAGGCGTGACCATCCCCCCTGGGGGGTGATTTCTCGCTTTCTGTCTCTATGTCTCTCTTTGTCTGTCTGGCGAGCGCATGTGCCCTATAGCGAAAAAAACCTCTCCAAAAAAAAAAAAAAAAAAAACCACAATGATATACCACCTAACCCCTGTCAGAATGGCAAAGATTAAAAATATAAAAAGTGCTAAGGGTTGGTGGGGATGTGGTGAAAAGGGAACTCTGCTACACTGTTGGTGGGAATGTGAACTAGTTCAGCCACTGTGGAGAACAATATAGAAGTTCCTTAAAGATCTACAAATAGAACTACCATTTGATCCAGCAATCCCACTTCTGGGTATCTAACCAAAGGACAGGAGAATGCTCAGTCAGAAAAGTGCTTGCACATCAATGTTTATTGCAGCATTATTCATGATCACTAAGACATGGAACCAACCCAAATGTCCACAAACTGATGAATGGATTGAAAAAGTGTGGCATATATACTCTATGGAATACCACTTAGCCATAAAAAAACAAGACCCTGGAAGTTGATAGAAAGTGGTTGAATACGGAGGATCTATTGCTGAGTGAAGCAAGCCGGGGTATGAAAGAAAGATAATATATACTGACTATCTGCACTTTATGGTAGAGTCAGAAATATTGGAGGGCATAAAAGTAGTGAAAATAGCTAGCAATGATGAAGAGAGTGTGAACTGAGGTGGGAGAAGAGAAGGGTATGGAGAAGGATAGCAAGAGAACAAATAGAGAGGCTTGACATTAGTAGGACACAGAAATGGTTTAATAATCTGTTGATGACGTGTATAGTATTCTCAACTGGACTCATCTGAGAAGCAGTTCATGTTGGGTAAAGTCTTTTTATAAGCAACATGATAGTGATTGAATATTTTTTAAAAATTATAATAATAATAATAATAATCTCGAAAATAAGTAATGGAAAACTATTTGAGAATGATGATGGGGATTTTAATGTCTTTGTATTGACTGATATGCATGGTATTCCTTCTGGAAAAAAAATGTAATACGCTGTAAAATTATATGTGATTCAGTGTAATATAAACAAGATTATGATAATAATAAATGAAAAGGGAGGAAAAAAGAATGCTTTTCCTCTCCCTTCGCCCCTGACAGGCTCTTTCTGATAACTTAGCTCTTAGCTTGAACTTCCCTCTTCAGGGCAGGTCTCATGTGACCATCTCCTTGTATTCTGAGGTTTTCTAAATCATAGGGCTCTGTTTTTCTATGTGACCATCCTCTTCTCAATTCAGCTTTATCTATTGGTTTACTAAATAGTTTATTTTCTGTCACCTGCACCAGACTATAAGGGCAAAGACCATGACTGTTATGTTTGATATTGTGAACTAGTGAACAAGTGCTGACTGTACATTTCTTCCTTACTCTGAAGTTCAGTGATGCCATATTGATATCTGGAAGTCAGTTGTGTGTGACTATTTACACCACAGAAATTGGCAAACACTACAAATAGGTGTGTTTTGTTTCTTTGTTTTTCTTAGCTGGTTTTGAATATTTACCAACACACCTGTTGGTAAGCATCTCACACATTACCTGGTATATGATATTAATATTAATGTTTGTTAAATGAATGAGTGAATGAATAAATGAATGACTACAATGTTCTTCACGTGAACAATCAAAATACCTACCAATAGATAAATGCTCTTAGAGGTTTTGCAAATTGAATTCATATATAACCTGATTAATTATAACTTGTCATTTCTACTAATCCACATATTTACTTAGAACAGGGACTATGTATCCCTAAGCCTAGCTCAGAATCAGACACCATAACTGACACTTAGTAAATATTAGTTGAATGACTGATGAATGAATTAATGAATGTATTAAGTGGAGTTTACCAAAATCACAAATACCAGAAGCCAAACAGTGGTGCATCAGTAAAATGGGACACTGTGAGGCTGACCTATATGGGAAGGTTCTGAGTTTGCATCTGGAGACCTCCCTGACTACTCCAGGCACGTGTGTGCCCATGATCCAGTGCTTACTGAGGCTGGAGGTAGATTGTGACATCAAATCCCTATTTCAGGTGCTGTATATCTCTCAGTTTCTGTTTCTGTCTCTCATAGAAGACATTACTAAATAAACTTTACAAATACAATTTATAAATAAGTAGGGTGAGATTGTTTCTATTTTGGATAGTAGATATAGTTTCCAAATTTTCTTGGTAGATTAATTCAATGGGTCAAATGTAACAAGATGAAATTTAAGAGGGAAAATATGATGAAGGAGTGAGCAGGCAGAATAGAACAGCTGGGGAAGGAACGAGTTTTAATTGCTGGAGGTTTAATGTGGCTTCTGAGTGGTGTGGTAGAAAAGCTGATACAGCTTTAGACTGTATTTGGAAAGAATACACTCCACTCGAGAGATCATTGTTTCACTTTCCTCTGCGTTCATCTGATACCTCCTGGAAAACTGTGCCCAATTCTGGAGGAATAAAGAAAAAGAAGCATGTATGGAGGAGAAAGGCCACAAAGATACTTAAAATTATGAGCAATGTTTACAGAATTAGCAAACTCATTCTGGAGGAGAGAAAATAGCTTCTGAAGACAAGAAGGAGGGTCAGAGAGGGTTCGTGTCAGTTATCTGAAAGGTTCTGATTGTTGAGAATACTTTGAGAATAACTTTCAAAAATGTTTGAGAAAATAATAAAATTAACAATTCTATTACCTTTTTCTTTTTTTTTTTTTTGAGAGGTTTTTGCTATAGGGCGTGTGCGCTCGCCAGACAGACAGAGAGAGACAGAGAGACAGAAAGTGAGAAATCACCCCCTAGAGGGGATGGTCACGCCGCAATCCCTTCTTCTCCATTCTCCTCTTGGGATCTTGGGCATGCATGCATACACGCCCGGCGTGAGTTTTAAGCCCCTGGGTCCGGGACGTGAACTGCGGTCGACTACGTGGGAGTCCAGCGACATAGCCATTACGCCAACTGCTGGTTCCCAGAACTTTTATATTTAAACGTTGACCAGGTCGCTTGATTTTTACCAAGTACTAAGCAAATTTGTCACAGTTCAACTGAAATGTGGAAACACTTAAGTGTAGGTACCAAAATCCCATATGCCTTTTCCCCTAAGAATGCTACACAGAAATCTAATCTAGTCACAGAAAGTGTAGATTCATCTGGCAGTGTATGCAAAATCATGTTCTGAGTAATAAAGTGCATTACTATTCAGGACAATAGAAAAGAGGAGAAGTTGGAGAAAGTAAGACTTCAACATATTTTTCTTCCTCCTTTAATAAATGGAAATTGAGAATTGGCTCCCACAAGGGAAGTATTCGTACTTTGGGTAATGAAGAAGAATGCTTACTTCTCCGTGGTTGCCAATATAATTCAGATTCTAGAACAATTGATTTGCAAACTTTGAAAGGATATTTGCTTCTGATTTTCATTGTTTCTGAAATCCATTTTCTTCAAGTAATCTGTGGTCTATCTCCCAGTAGGGTTTTGGGTTTCTGAGGTATGCCTTATATGAGAACAGTACA